GGACCTGAGTTCTATCCCTAAGCCCAAATGGTAGAAGGAGAGAACTGACTCCCACAAGTTGCCCCGTGACTTCCACATATACGCAACTACACACACACACACACACACACACACACACACACACACACACACACACTCCTAAATAAATAGGGGTGAAATACAGCACAGCAGGAGTGCTGACTGCTCTTGTAAAGGACTCAGGGTGGGTTCCCAGCACCACATAGCAGCTCACAACCCTTGGTAACTCCAGTTCCCAGGGGGATCTGATGCCCTCTTCTGGCCTCCATGCTTACTCCACATACATGGTGCACATATACACATAGAAAGCAAACATTCATACACATAAAATAAAATGTAAAGAAATTAAAATAAGTAAATGGAAATGCTTTTTAAGTTAATTAAAAATTGCAAGTAAAATACGTAGGATAAGTTTGGTCACCCTACTCAGAGGCCCCTTTGCAACCCTCCTCCAGGCCACACTATGCACACCCTGATGTGGTGTGCCAACAATACCTCAGCAGCTTGTATGTGTCACTATTATGAACCCAAATGCCCAGTGACTTATGTGACAGGCACATGGCAGTATATGCTTAGGCAAGCTACCAGCCAGGCAGAGTCTGTTCAAGAGAGAAGGGGACCCCCGACGTGGACACGTAAAGAGAGCTTAGCTTTCCTTGTGCTAGCTGGGTACAAAGGAGGAGGTAAGAGACCACGTGCTGATTTTATGCATATCTTTCACTCCCCTCCCCCAGTACCTGTTTATCTCTGTTTCCCAAGTCACTGGTCAGCAACAGAGCCTTCAAAGGCCAGACCCAGTGGTCACAAAGTCGACTCCACTTAGCCCCCAAAGGAGCCTCACATCTGGAAGCCTAGTATTGGGATGTTGAGGCAGGGTTTCTGTGAGCTCAGGGTCAGCCTGGGTTACAGAGTGAGTTCTAAGCTACATTAGGCTATAACATCTGACTCTGTCTTAAAAACCAAACCAAATAAACCCACACCATTCAACCCAGTAAGGATTGCATGTAGAAACAAACAAACAAACAAACAAACAAACAAACAACAGTATCCTAGGTGAGCAAGGAAAGGGAAAGAGTGAGTTCTCTTTGTTTTTTGAAACAGTGTAGCCCTGGCTGGCCTGCAGCTTACTACTTAGACTATGCTGGCCTGGGTCTCTCCGAGACCTGCCCACCTCTGCCCTAGTGCTAGGATTGAAGGCATGTGCTACCACACTGGCTTAAGTGGTGAATCCTTAGAAGAAAGGCTGGTATTTACTGGAAGCCAAAGACGGGTGATAAAAGGGTGGCGGCAAACGGTGGGAGGAAGCTGTGTACTCTCTCGGGTAGGCCTTTGGCAATAATGATCAGCATTTACAGTGCATGTTTTCAAGTCAGGTATGACTATTGACGCCTATAATTCCAGCACTTGGGGAATAGAGGCAAGACAACCAGGAGTGTAATGTCATCCTTGGCTACAAAGGGAGTTTTAACTGAACCTGAGCTACATAAGATCTCGTTTAAAAATAAATAGCCGGGCAGTGGTGGCGCACACCTTTAATCCCAGCACTTGGGAGGCAGAGGCAGGTGGATCTCTGTGAGTTCAAGACCAGCCTGGTCTACACAGCGAGTTCCAGGACAGACTCCAAAGCTACACAGAGAAACCTTGTCTCAAAAAAACAAAACATAAACAAATAAATAACATTTTAATTTGGGCAGGTGTCACATGCCTGCAATCCTGGTATTTTACAGGCTAAGGCAAGAGGATCACTGGAAGTTTTAGGTCAGTTTGTTTTACATTAGCAGGTTCCAGGCCAGTTAGGACTACTGACTGGTAAAACTATATCTCAAAATAAAGACAGAAGCAAAAACCCAACGAATACTCTCAACACAGCAATTCTCCAGTGAGAAGTAATACTGGTAAAGCACAACTATGTGGGCCAGATATATAGCTCAGAGGTTGAATGCTTGTCTATCATGCACAAAGCCTCAGGTTTGACACCCCCGCCCCGTGATGAAAAAAAGAAAAAAAAGTATATCCAGATGTGTTTATGTGGACTTCCTCTGTACCTCTCTTCAAAAGCCAAAATGAAAGCAATAATGCATCCAGAAACGTCTCTATATGTTCATCAGGAAGGAGTTAAGTGACTAAGTGAACTGTGGCCAATCTGTTACAGGGAGCATGGGAAGAGGAAGGCAGTTCTGTACAGCCAGAGTGACGGTTGGGAGCACAAAGGTCCTTGCACTCACAGATAAGCACTAGGGGAAGCAGGAATGTTAAACATACAGGGTTGTGTCTTCTGCGGAAGAGATGTTTAACCTGTTTTCCACCCAGAAGGCTAGGAATGGAGGTGGACTACGTAGGGAGACCCTGTCTTAAAACAAAAGAGATAAGCAAGGTGGTGCAGGCCTTTCGTTTTAGCACTCTGGAGGCAGAGGCAGGCAGATCTCTGTGAATTTGAAGCCAGTTTGGTCTACACAGTGAGACCCAGGCCAGCCAGAGCTACATGGTGAGACCCTGTCTCAGAACAAACAGGAGCTAGAGCGATGGCTCATTGGTTAAGAGCACTGACTGACCTTCCAAAAGACCTGGGTTCAATTCCTAACACCCACATGGCGGCTCATAGCTATCTGTAACTCCAGTTCCTAGGGGCCTGACAACCTCACCCAGACATACATGCAAGCAAAACATCAAAAGCTCGAAATAAAAAACAAAAAAACCACAAATGAACAAATGAATAATGAAGCCTGCTGTCTTATCATGAGGCCCTTAGGAGATGCTTATCATCAACAATTCATTGGTGTTCTCCATGCATGAGAAAGAACGGTTCAGGAAAGGCCTGTGATAGCATCAGCACACGGGCAGAGCCATGGTGAAACAGAAATGGTTTGGGGGCTTACACATAACAACCGGCTGACCACCTATTTCTCTGTAACCTTCCACATATATTCCGGAGAAAAATATGGTGGTTTATTAATCCCAAAGAAAAAAAAATTGTCAGGTAGATGGGCTAGATTAAGGGGTCACAAACACCGCAGCTCTTTTCTGAAACAGAGCTTGGTCCTCACTGTCTAAGCTCCCGGGAGGTTAGGCTGAAAAGAAAAAAGGAGCCAGGTGCACAGGCCACTTGAGAAGCTGGGCTGGGAGGACATCCAGTTGAGTTCCAGTCTGGGCTCTACAGGAAGACCCTTGTCAGACAGGGAAAAGCTAAGCGGAGCGGGCAGAGGAGAAGGAAGCGAAGAGGAGGGAAGGTAGATCACTGTCTCCCCCTCCCCTAGCACTGGGGGTTTTTCAAGGCTGGCAAAAGCAGCTATGCACGAGCGTTGAGGGACCTAATGACAGGGCTGACTCTCTGCAGGCCTCACACTGCACAGGAAACTGCCATGGTGGGTGTTCAAGAACCCGACACCAGTCTGTCATTCCCTCAACTCTGTGAAGTCTTTAGTATTTCTCAGCAAATTTCCACTTGGTACCACTGGTGTTTCTCCTCGTTGAAAGTACCTTGCCCTGCTCCGGCCCTTCTGTGGGTGCCTGTGTGTACCTGAGAGCAGCATGCTTCACCAGGTTGTGTACTAGGAAAAGTGTGGCCACTTCCACTAACTAGATCTTTTCCTATGTCTCTGAATTTCAAAAGTCTGGTTTCCTTGAGCAACTAACCTGGCCATATAAGAAGGTGGTGGCGCATGCCTTTAATCCCAGCACTTGGGAGGCAGAGGCAGGCAGATCTCTGTGAGTTCAAGGCCAGCCTGGCCTACAAAGTGAGTTCCAGGAAAGGAGCAAAGCTACACAGAGAAACCTTGTCTCGAAAAAAAACCAAAAAAAAAAAAAAAAAAAGAAGAAGTCTGGATGCTGATGGGGAGGACAATGTTTTTTAGCACTGAGGTGAGGCAAGGTGGAGAATTCTGGGTTGTAGCCCCAGACATACCAGCATGTGGGCATGACAGCTCCCTCAATAGCCTAGTCTTTTCACCATGGGAATAAAAGAGTAATACAAACAAAAACGGGGTGGGGGAGGGGATCAAAAGTAAAGGACGGAGCGGGGCGGAAATAAAAGAGACCAGAGATCTATCCAGGCAATAATGCCCGATTCTTGCTGAGGACATTCTTCCAGAAATCCAAGAGGGGGGAAAAATCCTAAATAACAATCTCATACTCACAATGACTCAAACCAGGAGTTCCTGTTTTCTGTGTTTGAACAGCAAAAAAAGATAAGCCAGAAAAATGATCATGCAAAGTCACATTGGGTACCAGAATCCTGAGCGATGGGCACAGGGAAAAAGCAGGGACATTTCCTCTTCTGGGGACGACCCTTCCCTCCCACAGACCAAAAGCCTAGGTTTCTGAAATTTCCGCTTGTCCATATCCAGGGACCTAGGCAAGTCCAGAAAACCCACACGATATCACTTCCAAATTTCACTGTCACCCCCAGGAGCTGGCTCAAAACTGGACTCTAAAAGCAACAAGAAAAAGAACTCAAAGTAATTAACTTAATTCTGGGCAGAAATAATTCCATCAGTATTGTCATAGTTTAGTGGAAAGGGCATGCCGACTAGTGGGAGTGGGCCCATGTCCCGGACTCCACTCTCCCAGTGCGTCCAAAGCAGGTACTCAGGGCAAAAGCGCACAATGAGATCCAGGTCACGCCACAAAGATCCTAAGCAGGGAGGAAGGGACCAGCCCCTGTGGGTTCACACCCCCCAACTAACCCAAACTGGAAGAATGGGTTGACGCGGACCGGACCCCTGGCTCCAGGACCAGGGGAGCCAAACAAGACAATAGAGCCATCAGAAGAAAATGACAGGAAGAGCTGGAGGAGCCCAGATGCCCTGGATAGGGATCGGAGAGGGGTGCAGAAATGGAGCTGGAAGCAGCGCCGGGAGAAGGGGGCGTGGAGTGACTCCTGCCTCGGACATCCACGGTCACCCACTGCCTGCTTCCAGGCTCCACAGCCCCGGGGACAGCTCCCTCCCTCCGCCCGCCTGCCCTCCCGCTCCTGCGTCCCGCACCGTGTTGTAGAACTCGGCGATGGCAGGCACGATGGTGTAGTTGTCCTCGCACCAATCCACCTCCGAGCTGCCAGCCCGCAGATGGTCCCACCAGTGCGGGACGACCATGGCCGCTCTGGAGCATCGGAGCAGCTTCTCCGCAGCGGCGACCGGCCCGAGCGGCTGCGGGGCACCCGGTGCGTCTGCCGCTTTATGCGGTGCGGGACAGCCTCCGGATGAGGCGCCTCCCCGCGGGCCTCCCCAACCGGGCTGCTCCCGCCCGCCACCCCCGCCCCCCCGTTGCAGACCCGCCCCGGCCCCGCCCCTGGGAGTCCCGGAGCATGACGGCCACGCCCACTCGGGGCGGGACCTGACAGGCCGAAAGCCCCGAAAGGGAGGGGGTGGAAGTGGGGGCTGCAGCCACCGGCTCTCCAGCTCTGCGCTTGGTGGCAAAGGCCTTTAGAGTCGCTCTTGTCCACCTGCATCCCGGTTGTGTAAAGAACGCCAGAATCCACCACCACCACCACCACCCTCCGCGCGCGCCGTAAAAATGTAAAATATGGAGAAACGCAAGAACATCCGGAGCCCTTTGGACTCCTTGGGAGTTCGCAGCAATGTGCTTCACTGCGCTTGGGACGCCGGTTCTCACGCCTACGGAAGGCTCTTGTTCCTCTTGAAGAAGGGACAGCTCTACCAGATGGCGACTTGCTGCTGCTGGTGGGGCAGAAATACCCTCCAGGCTGTAGCAACAGGTTCTCTGGTCACTTCCAAGAAGCCTGGGCTACCCACTCCCCAGGGGAGTGTTTCTGCAGTACTGTGTCCCTGTCCTTCTTAAGTCGTTTATGGGGAGCATAGGCTTGGGGAAAACCTTCAGCCAACCCAACCCATAGAGGATGTAGTATAGCAGCTAAGAACACACAAGTTCAGGACATAATACACACATAGTACTATAGTACATGTAGTAATATGTGCCGGGCTCTACTGGGGGAGTGTCCATATGTCTCCCATTAGGTGTCCCGGGCGGGCATCCCACGCAATGGGTTCTATTAACAACCCCCTTTCTGTCAGTGTGTTAGAGCTAATCAAGTTTAGGCCGGATGACCTTTGATCTGCTCATAATGGCTTTTCGTCTGTGATTATTCTGTAGTTTCTAAATACAAGCCAGCTAGTTCCTAAGATTTTTTTTTTGTCTGTTTGTTTTTTGTTTTTCGAGACTGGGTTTCTCTGTGTAGTTTTGCGCCTTTCCTGGAACTCACTCTGTAGACCAGGCTGGTCTTGAACTCACAGAGATCCGCCTACCTCTGCCTCCCAAGTGCTGGGATTAACGGCCTGTGCCACCACCGCCCTGGCAGAAACCATGTTATTCTTTTCAGTGGCAACTCGGGGCCACCTTCTTCTTGGGAAGTTCCAGGTAAGGACAATGGTAGAGAACACCCTGGGCAGCAAATTACACTGGTTGTCATTTCCGTGCTCAGACCGGCCTGCCTTCTCTCCTGACTGGAGCACCTGTAAGCAGTGCATCCGCGTCTGTCTTCCACAGATCCCCACACAGCCATTTCCATCTCCATGGCAGAAGCTTTGGGTCTCCACTAGGAAATCCAGCTTTATTTCCTAGGGACCAAATAATTCCTTGTATCTTCATTATCCCACCTTCTTCCTTTCCAGAGCCAGGCCCACTGTCTCCTGGAACTCAAGGAAGAGAACATACTCTGCAGCCTTCTTCTAGGGTCAGTCATGAGCTAGCAAGAGGGAGCAGGCCAGAGCCACAGAAGAAAAATGCACTGTTAATGACTCCCTGTCATTAACACCGAACACCAGCCATCCAGCAACAAAGCTACTTTCTCATGTGATCATACTTTACTCCTCCTAATAGCTTAGGTGAAAATAAGCTGGGTGTGGTAGCACATGATTGTAATCCCCCAAACAAAGACTATCCACATTCATTCATTCTAATAATATAAAACACTGTTATTATATGTGCCAGATTTTCTCAAGTTGTGGTCCACAAAGTCAAAATGTTTCCTGTTAATGCTGTGGCATTATCTACTGTAACTGGAGGCTTTTCTCTGTCCTTCCTGGTCCCACAGTCACTTTAAAAACTGAGTGAGTATTTAACTCACTCAGAGGCTTATATTAATTATAAATGCTTGGCCAATGGCTCAGACTTATTACTAGCTAACTCTTACACTTATTTGGTTTTTGTTTATTTTTGTTTTTTTGAGACAGGGTTTCTCTGAGTTTTGTTGCCTGTCTTGGATCTCGCTCTGTAGACCAGACTGGCCTTGAACTCATAGAGATCCACCTGCTTCTGCCTCACGAGTGCTGAGATTAAAGGTGAGCACCACCACTGCCCAGCTAGCTCTTATATTTAAATTAACCCATTTCTATTAATCTATGTATTGCCACATGGCCCGTGGTTTACAGGTTCTTTCACATCTTGCTTCTTGGGTGGCTCTCAACATCTGCCCTGACTATATCCTTCTTCATCTCCATCTTCAGTTTTAATGTACCATCTAACCTTATTCTGCCTCGTCATTGGCCAAACAGCTTTATTTATCAACCAATGAGAGCACCACATATTCACAGCATACAGAAAGACATCCTGTAGATGAATTTCTAAACGGTCTTAATAAATAAAAACACAGAGCCAAATATAGGGGTGAAAGCCTTAGACAAAGATCAGAGGAATAGGACACACCATGAGCTAACCTCACCCCACCAACTCCACAGCTTCCAAAGAAAGCAACTTCCTGTCTACCCAGGCCTTGCTGTTCTGCCATCTGATTTGGTCTCTGTCTAGCTACATCATTTCCTCTTCCTGGCCAGCTATGTCACTTCCTCTCTGTACAGGCCTCCAGAACTCTATGGTTGGTACTGGGATTAAAGGCATGTGTCACCACACTTGGCTGTGTTCCCTAGTGTGGCCTCGAACACACAGAGATCCTGCCTGCTAAGTGATGAGATTAAGGGCATGTGCTACCACTGCCTGACTTCTTTGTTTACTCAAAATGGCTTGCTATTTCCTCAGATCTCCTGGCAAACTTTATTTATTAAAGCACAAATAAAATATCACCACATTTTCCCTTGTTTTGGTCTAATAAAAATAAAAAATAATAAAAGAAAATTATAATATAGGAAAACCTATATACAATAAGTACAATAGCAATATACAATATATACAAGCAATAAATACATCAACAATGTCTAGTCCGTTTGCATTTGACAAACTCAGAGAAAATATTCCATTATCTATCCTATTTTGGTGAGTTCAAAATGTACCTAATTCACTTTCTATCCTAACTTATATTACCAACAGAAAATTATCTTATGTCTTTCAAACTTACACACTTAACACCTCTTAGTGAGTTTCTTTTCTGAATTCCTTAACAAGGAAAATGATAACTACAACTATCTAATCTTCAACTGCCTCAGAGACCCAAGAAGGAAATAATATTACCTAGCAAAACAGGAAGTGCAAACAAGCAACTTCCAAAAAATGAGTTATGACAGAAACAGCCAGCTGCCTGGACAGTCACCAGAGGTTTCTCTGCAATGTTGGGGCATCATCTTCAGCCTACAGACTTAGCGTATCTGACAGACTCACTTGTGAAGTAGAATGTACACAATGCCTACAGCTTGACCTCATATTCAGTGCATTCCATGTACCAGATAAACTTGAATTCTGCCAGTGTCCTGTCATGATTCAGGATTTTAAATTCTGAAAATTGCTGGTGTTTTTGGAATTTGGCTGCCCATTCTTCTCAGCTTGTGGGTGGCTTCATCTCCTTTATTAAATGCCAATTTACCATCGAGAGGTTAGACTCCACCAGCCTAGTTACTCCTTCAAGAATAACTGTTTCAGCTACTGTTCCACTGCACACCAGAAGCCATCAGTCCACTGCCCATTCAGCTGCCTTCGAAGAAATGGGCACTGTGCCTATTCTGGATTGCAAAGTCACTTCAGCGATGGTGCCATATTGTCCTGGCCTGAGAGGACGCCTGTTGCCAAAGCTGCAATAACACTTGTCTTGGCAAGAATTGGTAGTCCTTTGTTTTATGTTCTGTTTGTTCACATCCTGCCAGCAGTCCATTCGAGGGCACTTTGTTGCCCGGCTAACTTTTGTCACAGTGAAAGTTAACTCCATATGCAGTTTTCTTCAATGCCCATATCTTCTCTGAAGTAGATTGGTGCTGTCAGGAGTTGACATGTCTCATAGTCATAAAAAAAAGAAAAAAATATATGTTATTAAACATCTTAAATGCCATATTCTGTAGATCTCTGAAGGTTTTGAAGATGACCTATCTAAAATATATCTCTACGTGACCTTGAAAACATATCCAGTATGACTACAAGTTCAATTGTAATGTCTAACTACTAACTTTCATTTCTTTATATCCTAATAGTTGGTAATAATAACTTTCAAGGATTAGAAAATTGCATTACATTGTTAAATGAACTATATAGGTACAATATCCTGAACAAGATTAGAAATACATGTATAGTATTTTCTAACAAAATCAATCTCAAATTTGTATCAATATACATAATTTGTATACAATATACAAAAATCCAATCCAATGTAAAATATTTAGAACTAAAATATTTAAAAGTAGATTCAATAATCGACCTTTTTATCTATATCATGTCTATATCCTCTCTTTTTTTTTCAGAGTAGATTCAAAAATCTACCTCTTATCTATATCCTCTTTTTTTTTTCAAACAAGAACCTTAAATCCAATCTCCTTTGTTTAGCCTCTTTCCTGACCATTAATAATAACAACTTGTAATCAACCATCCTAAACAATGACAATTATCCCAAACCCAAAACCCATTGAAAGACCATAAACCATCTGCCCCACCTCTTGGGAATGTGGGTGTCATGTTCTTAAAATTGCTTCCTGCTGTTTGTGGGTGAAAGCATCTTTAGGAGATCCTGAAAAGAAAAATTTTGGGTTAATTGTCAAGTTCTGGGAGAGGGCACTGTATCATTTGTTGTCCAGTTTCTGCATAATGCAAAAGTGCAAAAATGCCAGACTTATCTCAAGTCCTCGATCAAATAGTCTATGAGGCTCGATCATCTCAGCTAGCCATCTCGAAATTGTCCTGAGCAGTTTGTAGTCCAAAGCTGATCTTTGGGTGATGTTTGTCAGTTTGGTGGTTTTATTATTGTTCATGTGGAATTGTCATTGTGGGGCCCCATCATCTTTCTGGAGACTTCAAATT